AAAGGTTGGCCAGCTGGGGAGGGACCGTGAGAGGGCTTCAGGGAGTGTCTGGCCCATCTTGCTCAGTCCCGATCAGCTGGACCCCAGCAGCAAGCTAACCTACCGGTTGGAGCATCTGCCCCCTGGTGGTCAGTGAACATCATAGCGAGCGGTTGAGAGGCCTTAGTGTATCATTAGCATATTACACTCTGATTGGCTGAATGGCCAACTGGACACTTAGCATATTAGCCTTTATTATATTGGATATATATGGTATATTATGTATGTATGTACGTATGCATGTATGTATGTATTTTGCAGGACTGAGTTAAACTGATATTCTTTCCATGATCCATTCAGAAAAAATAAATGGCCCTGGCTGGTGTGGCTCAGTTGTTTGAGCATCATCCCATGCACCCAGAGGTCACTGGTTAGATTTCTGGTCAGGGCACATACCTGGGTTGCAGGCTTGATCCCAAGTAAAGGGCTTGCCGGAGGCAGCCAATCAATGATTCTCTCTTATCATTGATTTTTTTCTTTCTTTCCCTCCCTCTTCTTTCCTCTCTCTCTCTCTCTCTCTCTCTCTCTCCCCCTCTCCCCCCCCCCCAAAATACAAGAAAACATTTCCTTCCCCCCCTCTAGAAATCAATGAAAACATTTAAATTTAAAGAAAAGATATGAATGTCCTTCAGATTGTCACAGCAATGTTATCTGTAAAAAAGCAATGTGGCCTAGAATTGTATGAGAGAGAGAGAGAGAGAGAGAGAGAGAGAGAGAGAGAGAGAGATTTAAGTTGTTTCCGCAGCAGGAGAGGATCCCTGGAAGCACGCAGAAGACAAGTTAGTTTGGCTCAAATGACCTAGTTTTAAAAATCTCCATTCTGACAACTCAGGAAGGCCAGTGTGCTGCTTCTTGGCCAGAATCATGGGGGATTTGTATTAGACAAGTTCCCTTTGAACCACTGCCTTCACCCTGTTGAAATAACTTTCTAGGCCCAGCATGGAAGTGCTCTTGTCCAGGGTGCCAGGTCAAAAACTGAAACAGGTAACGTTTCTGACCCTGTCAATGCTCTGCTTGACCAGAAATGCAGCATACCCAGTCAGCCACGCCCGACCACCAACCCAACCCTATGCCTTCTCACCCCAAGCAAAGCTGACCATGTGGTCCCAGCTGATGAGATATTTCCTCTTTTTCTCTTCCTTGCTCTTTATTCTTTATTCTATTAAAGCACCCTGCCTTCAGCCCTGCTTTGCAGTTCTCTAAATGGAGACAGTCCACTCCATGAAGTGTTAAATAAAGTGTGTTTCTATCACCTAAATAGTCTTCTCTCATCATTTAAAAAAAATATATATATTTTATCGATTTTTTTTATAGAGAGGAAGGGGGAGGGATAGAGTTAGAAACATCGATGGGAGAGAAACATTGATCAGCTGCCTCCTGCACACCCCTTACTGGGGATGTGCCTGCAACCAAGGTACATGCCCTTGACCGGAATCGAACTTGGGACCCTTCAGTCCACAGGCCGTCGCTCTTCCACTGAGCCAAACCAGTTAGGGCTCATCATTTTTTTAACAATGCTCATCCAAACCTCTATCATCTCTGGCTCCCACTAAAAGACCCCACTACTTGTGCCCTGCCCCATCCTGTCTGTCCAGCAGAGCAGCCATCTACCTCTTACACTGGCAATGGTATCATGTCATGCCACCTTAATGGCTTGTCACTGCACTCAGAAATAATTCAGAACCATTACTACAGCCCTGGTTGCTTTCTACAACTTGATATACTACCACATTTACCCACCTCCTCCACCTTTCTACCCTTAATCACTCTGGCCTTGGTAGTCATACTGGCCTTGAATAGAATCTTGGCTTCATGTCACCAAGTTGCTATCTCCTTAAAGAGGTTCTCCTAGCCAGCCTATTGAACATTGACTACACCAAACCCCACTTTCAGGCACTACCATGGAAACTTCTTTGAGTGGCCTTAGAGAGCTTGTAGCTGAACTCATAGCATTTCTTTCTTTATCATGTGTTTTTCCATCCTTCATGTTCACTCTGTATCCCTAGCACATAGGGCAGCCCCTACAACATGGCAGAGTCCAGGGGTTGCTGCCTGGGCTCCTTCTGCATTCCAGTGCCTGGAGCTACTATCGTCTTGGAATGTGGAGATGAGTCAGATCTTTAAGAGGGCTCAGGTATTATGACAATACTAGAGGCCTGGTGCATGACATTCATGCACTGGGGGGAGGGGAAGGATCCCCTCAGCCTGGCTTGTGCCGAGCGGGCCTAAGCCAGCAGTTGGACATCCCCTGAGGGGTCCTTAGCACTGCCACGGAGATGGGAGAGGCTCCCACCACCACCACTGTGCTCGCCAGCTGTGAGCCCGGCTTCTGGCCGAGCGGCACTCCCACTGTGGGAGCGCACTGACTAGCAGGGAGCAGCTCCTGCGTTGAGTGTCTGCCCCCTGGTGGTCAGTGCTCATCATAGCGACTGGCCGTTCCTCCATTTGGTCAATTTGCATATTAGGGTTTTATTATATAGGATAGGATAATAATTAAAATCACAGTGATTATAACTATACTTTACTGAGCACCTGCTTAGCACCAGATATTGGACTGGATGTTTGACACAGATTTCATATTTGATTCTCCCAACAGCTCTCTGAGGTTGTTAACTGCTCGACTACACTACTTCATTAGGCAGATGATACCAGACACTAAGACATGATGGGCCAGATCCATCATGTCTGTCTAAAGAACCAGAATGTTTGGTCAGTATTGAGGAAAGTCTGTAAAGGATGTATACTCACATGCCTGGAAAACACTCCTGTGTTTTTCTCTACAAGTCACACTGTGCACCACACACACCCTGAATACACCACCTTTCCAGGGACAAGCCAGTAAGTGATCTCAGGCAGATTCCCCAGCTAATGAGAGCCCCTCCCATTTCCCTTCAGGGAGGTAATGGGTTCCACTATTTGAGAACACAGCCTCCCCAGGAATCCTGGACTCTGCTGCAAAGGCAAGGAGCACAAGACAATATAAAGTGTTACTGTTCTGGCAAACGTTCTCTAATTCTGGACCAGGTACATACCACAGCCCATTAGTGTAATTTTGAAAAAAAATTAGAATTACTATTTTTTGGCAGCCTGGAGTCTTTCATCTTAAAAGATGATTGCAATGTTTTAAAAGGGTTATCAGGATGCTGCATCATCATCATAATGACCCTTTATTATGTACATTATGCTTTAAGAGCTTTAAACATACTGTGATATAAGAATGTAAGATTTGATCCTAATAGTGATGCTTTGAGGTATACGGAGTAGTAATTATTTGTCACATTTCACAGTAGGGGAAACCGAGGTCCAGGGCAATGAAACAGCTTCCGAGACTTCACGCCAATCATGGCAGTGTAGTTCTGGGACCCAAGGGCACTGATTCCTAGTCCACTGTTCTTTATATGTCATTACAGGTGAACTGATTTAAAGGAGAACAGCAGGGATTGGAGGGGTGTGCACGTGTGTGTGAGTGTGTGTGTGTGCGTGTGTGTGCATGTGTGTATGCCAAGAGGACCTGTGAATTCCAGTGTTTCTTAAACCCCAACAGATCATCTTCAAAGCATAGACTCATTGCAACACCTCACAAACCCCTAACTTCTAAGCATTGTCATCTGTTCCGTAACAGACAATCATACTTAAATCACAATGTCACACATACACCTTGGACTTCAAGCTTCCCAATAAACATACTTGAGATATGTACAGAAAGACTGTTCCACAAAGTTCTTTCATGCCTATTTTTCCATCTTTCCCCTTCTGGTGTTTCTTTTTCCCATCCAGAAATAATGTTCTTATAGTTTATAATTCTGCTGTTTCTGTCTTAATGAATTATAGGAGTGCATTTTATAGTTTCAGAAAAGTCATCTCGGGCAGTGAATCAACTCGCAGCCTTTCCTTCCTCAAATCTCTTCCAGGGGAAAAAATAAAAGAGGAACAAAGCCAGGCGCTTCACAAATGATGCACTTCACTCTCAGGGCAGCATTCTGCTCCTTCTCGCTCTACAGCTGAGGCTCAGAGGGCTCTGTTCCTGAACTTTCTTTTCCTATAGTTGACCAAGGAGCCTGAAGCCAAGGAAGAGACATCCATGCATCTGCTTGTTTTCAGCAGAATGCAAAGGCTGCTCTGCCTCCCTTGCTGGGCACGCAGGAGTGCGTACAGAGCAATGTACGAGAAATCTCCAAGTTCAGGACCAGTCAGCCCCAGGTAAACACCTTCACTGTGTAGGCCAGTGATCAAAGATAGTAAAGTTATAGTTTATGTGGAAGGTTAAAGAAGTTCAGTGAAAGTGAGTTTTAATGAATGTCAGTTCCCTCTATGCGCTTACCTCCAGAAAATGTTCTGCCTGTTGTTCTCGATCCAGTTTCCTTGAAGTTGTTGTAATCAGACCTGTGTAGAAATGAGAATATTTGACTTTTAAATATCTGGGGTATGGAGGGCGAGAAATAAGTCCAGTTAAAGAAAAAGCAGAAGTGATGAGGAACTGTAACTTTCCAGTCCCAGTGGCAATAAGATGGTCTCAGAATTCTTCCTTGTTTTATTTCCGGATAAGCAGTTTAGGAATCTTCAGAATTATTCTGTTATTTTTAGGTAAATCCTCACCCGAGGATATTTTTTCCATCGATTTTTAGAGAGAGTGAAAGGGAGGGAGGAAGGAGGAGAGAGAGAGACATACATGGATGGGTTGCCTCCTGCATACACCTGACCAGGGGCTGAAGATTGAACCTGCAACCCAGGTATCTGCCCTTGACCAGGAATCGAACCCATGATTCTTCAGTGTGAGGGCTGACAGCTCTAACCACTGAGACACACCATAATTATTCTTAAAGCAAAATAACATTTACAAAGAAACCCTGAAAACTGTGTTGGGGTTTTGCTTACCTCAGGTAATGTAATCACTTTGGGGACATAAAAACTCACTGAAGAACCATTGTTTTTCTGATAAGAAGGAATTTCAATGATTTATTTGCATATGATTAAAATTATACAGTAGGAACCTCATTAAAGAGTTTAGAGTTCTTGAACAATTAATATGTTGTTGATGGAGATTAGATTCAGGCTATGAAACAGCACTTTCTTATTTAACTTTTTTATGCTTATAATGTTTTTTTTTGTTAAACTTGACAAAGAAGGTTATTTCTGTAATAACTATTGTACACAGGTTATTGCAAATTTAATAACTCACATACCTAAGATTTCATACTGTAATTTTATCATTTATTATGTGTTTAAATCTTCACACAAAATAAGTCCCACCTGGGAAATACCTATCTTTCCTTTGAATGGTGTTTCTCATAAATGAATCTCCCATTTGAGTATAAAGACAAAGCAAAGGGAATGAGAAGGCAAAAGCTCCAGCCACCCAGCTTATTGCACCAATTTGTCTCTTGCAGGTTTTGTTATTATTATTGTCAAATGGCAATTAGGAGGTCAAACTTACATTCCGTTTCTTGATTCTGCAATGTCCCTGAAGACAAGAGACTTATGGATGGGGCTGTTTTCATGACATACGCTGACTGACAGGAAATTGCCGCCGAGAGTAAAACCCCATGAAAAGCTCACTCCCAAGGTTGGCAAAGTATGTGGAATAAGGAAAAGCTCTCCTACTGAGGTTGGCTGAGGATCTCATGACCGCCAGCTTTTATTTTACACAGAGGTGGTGGGTGGGAGTACGTGGTAGGCTTTAGAGAAAGCCAAGAAGAGGCCCCAGGCGGTTAAATGGCCTTCAAAATAAAATCCCACTGGGAGGAGCAGGGCTCTTTACAAGCCACTCCCCTCCCCTCCTTTCTCACCTGTCTACACTCCTATGAAGGGAAATCTATGTTACCATTGCACAAATGACCTGCCTTTCTGTGAATTCTTCCTGGAATGTGTCCCACTCCACTACTTCACCCACTGACTTCAAGTGTAGATCAGCTGTTAGCGCAGGTGTTAGCCAGGGTAACATGTGACATGTCCCAACAGAACGGTATCCTCCACCACCATTGTTCTTTGCCTTCTATGATCATCATTTGCTCATATGTCTGCATTTCCCCAACAGACAAGTTGACCCAGTTCCTTCATGGGAAGGGCCTGCCCTTTCATTCATAAGCCCACCTAGCTAGTGGCCTAAAACAAAGAATGGGAACTTCATTAATGCTCAGTTGACAAAAATTGATGTGGAAGAGAGAGATTATTTATATTTTAATCTTCAGTTTTACTACAGACTTAGAATGCTTGCTTGGGAGGGTACTGCTTAGTGCAGTGATGGCGAACTTTTTGAGCTCGGCGTGTCAGCATTTTGAAAAACCCTAACTTAACTCTGGTGCCGTGTCACATATAGAAATTTTTTGATATTTGCAACCATAGTAAAACAAAGATTTATATTTTTGATATTTATTTTATATATTTAAATGCCATTTAACAAAGAAAAATCAACCAAAAAAGTGTCATAGGTTCGCCATCACTGGCTTAGTGTGTAAGGAAAGTCTATGATGGTGGGCAGAATGTGGGTGCCTTTAACATTTATTTGAGGCCATTGATTGAGGTCCTCTCTGTGAATGGTGACATCCTCCTCACTCTCAGATACAAAGATGAGCAACTGCTCAAGATTGTGGAGAGAAGACTGTTATCAGGAATTGTAAGGGAGAGAATCAGTAACTTCTCTTTTCCAGCTTCCCATCAGAACTCTCAGGGAAACTCAACAATTAGATTCTATGTCCCACTCTACCCCCCATTTACGCATCTGAATCTCTTGGGGTGATGCCTGAGAAGGCCCACTGATTCTAAGAGAAGGTTTACATCATCCCACGACCCTTTGCTGAATCTCACTATGACTCTTTATTGATATTAGTGTTTCTGCTCAGCCACAGGCAGGATGGGCGTACACTGAGCTGCTTCAGCATCTGGAGCAGACGATCGGGCTCAGTGTGTGCCTGGGGGTGAGAAAGGGTGAGATGGAGATGATGTGTGAGTGCACTAGTGGGTGGGGTGATAAAAGAGGAATAAAAGGGAGCACAGCTCCCTGGTTCATGTTGACTATGGGTCGATGTGGTCACACCAGTGGATGTCTAACACACCAATACGATGCCTTCATTTTCAGGCTAGTCTATCCTATAAGGTCATATGTCACAGAGGCCCTTTCCAAGTGAGAAGTCACTGTCTTCTCAAACGGGGGCAGGGGGCTTTCACCTCTTCTGGGAGCATCCTCTGAGAAGGGTCACAGTGGGTATGAGATATACTTGTTGTATTGAGGCTCTGAATGGGTGGAGGGCTGTCACTTCCACTCTGCTGCCTGCCTGCTGCTCTTCAGGAGCCCTTTGCCTTCTGTTCCCCTGAGGGCACTCGTGTCATTTCAGGTCCTACTCACAGAGTTTCACAGCCCACTGCGGTGTAACGGGGCTCAGGGAAGAGGCCAACTTCCACCCCTGATCATTCTTAGGGTAATTTTTTAGGAGGGTCACACATTTTAACAAAGCGCATGTGTAACTGAGAGAGCAGTGACTCCCCTCCCATCTGTATACCTTCACCAAGATGTGTTTTTCACATATTTATCAGCCAACAGAGGAAGCTACAGGCTTCCTGAAAAGTCTGAAACAGCATACACAGCAGTGAACCTGGGGCTGTGAGAAAGGCAAACAACATCTGTGCTTGGAAGAAAGGCAGGACAGCCTCTGTGGGCTTCAGGTCTCTAGGTTTGTATTGCCTTTATTTTCACAGAAATAAGATAAAAGTGTCTAATTGGTAGGAAATCAGATGAGGTCGGCTTTTGGACAGGGATTGACTACTAATGGGCACAATGTTTCTTTGGGGGGTGGGTAATGAAAATACTCTATAATTATAGACTTGAATTTTTAAGGGTTTTAACCATTTCCTTAAAAAATGCCAACTCATTGAACCGGAATTATAAATGTAAACAGTATACTCATCATTTCACAGCTGTTTGAATGTGAGTTTTCAGTGTTTTATTATATAAACAGTAGGGGAACCTGGGGGGGTGGGTGGCGGGGGGCAGGGCTGGCTGCGGACAGCTGGGGAAGATGGCCCTGATCATAGGCCAAGCCTAGGGACCATACCTGTGCAAGAATTTCGTGTGCCAGGCCTCTAGTTTTATATAATTATACATCAATAGGGAACCATTACTCTGTCTTTTAGATTTTAACAAGTCTTTCTAGTTGGAAAAGACAGACATTTCAAAATACTTGGTGAATGGATGATGGGGTGAGTGAGTTATTTAGGAATCAGGCATGAAGAGGGGTTGGAAGGAAGAGAGTGATCAGGTTTGTCCATGGGGATCTGGAGCATAACAATAATGAACAAAACATTTTGGGTTAAAGCCACAACGGGTAGTTATCGCACTGATAAAAATAATCCTCATCAAGCCAGGGCTAACTAAGCCAAAAACGGGCAAAAGCTTTCTTCCTTCTAAAGCAGTGATTTTCAAACTTTTTCATCTCATGGCACGCATAAACTAATTACTAAATTTCCATGGCACACCAAAAAATATTTTTTGCCAAGCTGGCAAAAAAGGTATAATTTGATTGATTTACAAATGATAATAGTAACAACAAAAATAAAAATGATATTAATTACTTCCCCTTTTGGCTCCAAAGTAACTTTTCAAAAAAATCAGGTGCCTATAAATGTACATAAGGATTTCCGGTGCCAAGAATTAACCAATGAGATGCAACCTTATTATGCAGCATGACCAATAAGATGCAACTCTATTATATGACCAAATATTTATGGTCCAAGACAGGGCATTCACACTAACGATTAATGTTGTGTTGACTGTTGTCATTTCTTTTATTTGACAATCTAGGGGAAAAGAGGTCAGTGTCCCTGACTAAATAGTCAGGTATTGTATGTTTTAAAAATTCTTGCAGCCCACAGGTTGAAAATCGCTGGACTAAGGGAACACACATAGGATGAGCTATGATGCTTCAGCAGCACCGTGTATTTTACCGTCAGAAAGGAATGCAGTGAGCCATCCCTCACAGTCCAGAGGAATTAGTCGAAATCACCAAAGCTGCATCTTCATTTTTAACAACTTTGTTGTAGCAGAAGGCAGTTGGGCTTTAGAAAAGGAAAAAGGATAAAGGAGAGCAACCTCCCTCTGCAACTGCTGTGATTCATCACCGTGGAAGGCAACCTCATTGCAATCTCTGCAGGAGACAGGCATGTACATCACGCATGTAAACTGCAGACCCATTGGGCACAGTAAATTGGGGACTGACATGACGAAATTGAATTTCAAAGATAAATCATAGGCAGGCGTTTGAATGTGGTTCAGAGATAGAAACAAATACATCATTTGATATAATTACATATGCAAGCCTCCAGTTGAGGAAGGGGGGGCGAGTTCAGTCCGCAGTGAATGATACTTGGTAAAGAAGGCGGGAGGGCACATG